CCCCCCCCCCCCCCCCCCAGGCAATAGAGTCGGATTATATAGAACTTTTTTTTTGTATAGAAACGGCATGTACTGAGATAACATCGAATGCAAGTCCTATYGTTTTCGACCAATCCGATAACAAGTAGTTACGATTACTAATTGTATGAAATCGTTAACAGCTCTTATACCATCGATATTTTAAAATGTTGATCAGTATCAGTATCAGTATCAGTTCTGTTCCATTATTAACAGCAATTAGCTGAATAACGGAGACTCTATTCTATTCTAGATTAAAGTTCTTATAAAGAAGTCCTTTTAAGGCTTTYCTGTCTTTTGTTAATCTTCTGGCCTGATCTTTATCAATGTTTAGTAGTTTTTCGATCTCCGATGTGATGCTACATATATCTTTTGTCAYGCACGAATAACTAAAAGGTTTAATGTGAAACTTCGTACTTGTCAGTGACTCGTGACGGGGAAAAGTAAATCAACTTCGCGAATCTGCACGAAGCCTCGTACTGAAACAATTGTGTGACAATCAGAGTATATCTCGGAAGTGGGCTTAGCCTATGTAGTATTTCATCTGTTCTAAGGTCCATTATTAAGTGATATTATTTGCGCACATGATCATACACGTGATCACCAACTGACTTGCCTTATAGACATCGTGTGAATCGATTATCTTGTCGAAGCAGGTGTAAAGGTCGTTCAGAAGATTAACCACCTGAATCGAGAAAAGAAAAGAAAGTTTAAGTCGCACAGCTTAACAGACCTCAAGCATGATGACGTTTACTACCCTCACTTCCAGAATATTTTTCGGTAGCTTTTTTTTTTAATGCTAATTTTCACTATTAAAAAGAGATTTGGGGTAGTTTAGGTATATGAGAAGACCACCTTCCAATCTTCAACATTGCCTGATGAAGACTAGCAGCAGCAGTCGAAACGTCGCGGTCCTTCCAACTGCCACAATCGTGAGACAGATTAAAAAGTATAATCTTTGAGTTTAGGTATAATGCGTCATTAAGGTTAGCCGTCTATTGTCTATTGATGAGAGTCACGGAAGCTGCCAAATACAGCTCGTTTTAGTCTAACTACACAACTTATATATCAAAAAAGGTAGCTGTCACCAAGAGACCTTTCCCCTTACCTGAAGGAAATGTGTCATCCAAGTGCTTGGGATAATTCTAGGGAACGCCGAAACAAACGCGAGTTAGCCCTAGGAGTAGAGTCACCCTTCTTCATGTAAATGGCCACAAATAGAGCGAGAATGAARCATAAAGCCTGATATGATTCTCTACTGATCATGACTTACACGAAGATTAATTGCTTCTATCATTAGAAGTAAATGTTTGAAGTAAAAGCTCATTGTGTACCTGAATTGGAGTACTTTCTGAGGCAAGCTTAGTAAATCCCACAATGTCACTGAAGAAAATCGTTACAGATTCAAACAACTCTGCATCAACTGGTGCGCCTATTTTCAGCTTCTCCGCTACGCTTCTGTTAAGTGAAACAGGGAGGTGACAAAGATATGAAAAGATTTGTGATCATAGTGAAAGAAAGCAATGTCATGGGAAAACCACGCGGGGATATCTTTATACCCTGGTATAGCCACCCAAGAAGCYATGACTGGTAAATGTATATGATGCATGTAGATGCCGTCAAGTGGGATATATTATGCTGGCCCAAGGGATATCACTTATTTATCCGCTATGTTGCCGAAATCAAAATATAAGGCGTATGTTATAATGCAATGCTCCTATAGTAGTCCTTCTAAAAGGACTACTACATCAGAACTTTGGCTCTGTGTAGACTATATAGTCCCTGCTGATCAACKTATAGTTGGAAATAGCGGAATGACACTGATACTGATACTGATATTGCATACTTTTGTTTACAGTGCAGTTGTAGTAGCTGTACAGACAAGTTGTCAAACTAGATTTTTATGCAACCTGTGCCATACATTCGACCGTAAAGGACTAGCATGGTAAATAGTGAACACCGTAATGTATTATTAGTATAATTAATGGCAAAATTATTACGACACAAGTTGATGGCGGGGTGTCACTTCAGGCAATGTAATCAAATTGCTACTTCACTGAAAAGTAGTAAAATTCGATTAGCTKCTTCTTGCAAGAATGATTGTGACATGCTACTCTAAGATGCGAGACAGGTTGCAAGGAACATAACTTATTATTTGTTGCAAATGTTATAGCATTGCAATTCCCCGCGCCGAGCGGTCCCTAGGGTGGTCCCGCGGGACACACTTGATCATTACCTTGGTAGCATTCTATAAAGCAGTGCGTCGGTCTTTATCTTTTCCTCTTCCAGCTGTTGAGTTCTTTCCTGCACGACTTCTTCAAGATGGTCTGTATACTTCTCCATCATTGCAATCATATTATCCATGATATTTATTTCCCTAGAGGAATTGAAAAAAAACACGGTTGTTCGCATATCTTACGAATCTGAATTTAAGATATCTTCCAACTTACTTTCCCTTGTTAATGCGTTTTAGCTTGCGCAGRATGTCGGTGAATCCAGGGCGAGTACCTGGAACCTTGTTCCAACACTCGGCCATTAATTTGATGAATGCAGGACTTCCAGATTCAGGTGGAATTCTGGGACGGAATGGTGGAATCTCAGACTGCTGAACTCTGTTAACGATACCTTTGGGACATGAAAAAGCATGATATTCAGAAAGAAATAGCAAGCGRTTACTGATTTATTTTACACTGAATAGCGGTTTGGTACATCGGTGGAATTGCAAATTAAAGTTAAAAATTTAATTTTTGCTATGACAACCATATGTTGCTCAGCCATGAGTGCGCTGTGTGTCTGATATTCTTGTTTGCGACATCACTTAAAAAAAGCACATAGAAACCTTAATAATTAATCCAGCAATTCATCATAATAGTTCCGACTCCCCTTAGTTACCGTTGCTATGCCCCACAAGCCCAATAATTAAAAAAAAAAAAAAAACTGATCGCTGAAAATAAATAATAAATTGCTTCAATTGTTTCATATTGGCAGAATCACTTACTTTTCGCTTCCATGAATTCATTCATACAGTAAGGCAGCCCTCTCAATAAGATCTCTTGGAGTATAATCCCATAGCTGTACACGTCTCCTTTAGGTGACTGACCAGGTCTCTCTGGATTAAGCAAATGTTCTGGTGCAGTCCATAGTAAATCTGAATAAAAGTCAATCTAATATCAATTTATCGTTAAAGGTTCATAATCAGCCTGGTTGACGCCGGACGCTTGAGACTGCTGCAATACAGTATTGATCTTTTTTGTGAGRCTCCGCTACATCACATACATGCATGGATCTTTAGAAAGCTAAGGATCCTATTGTCTCACTATTATGAATGCTAGGTTATTTGTCAGTTTTTGTTCAATCTACAGGCTTGATCAAAAAGCTGATTAACGCTGCTTCAATCAAAGGAGATMATTTTGCCAAGAATGAAAGAGCTACTGCGCATGCTCAGCGATCCAGAAGAAAAACCTAGCTATTCTTCTTCTATACGAATTATCAACACCAAAATCTTATGTGATTTGGAAAGGAGTGTGTGTTCTCCTGAAGAAATAGAAAACGTGCTCGTGTCCTGTGTGCAGTTATGAGGTRCGCGGGGATAGGAGGACCACGACGCGCAGCGGAGAAGCGTAGCGCGATTCTACTCCGCGATACTTCTCCAGTGTTCTGGCAATGCCTATGTGCTTTATAACTGCACACAGCACATYAAACAAGTTTTTRAAAATTTCTTTTATRAAATACAAATTACAATAAACGTTATTTTGGATAGGAATGACGCAACTGAAAGTGTGCGCGCGTGACGATGCTCTCATAAAGCACACGCGCTTCCAACTAATCAGAACRCGAGATTTAACAGTTATTTTAWAATGTATTTTGGCTACCGTCGGTCCATCAAATGTACGGCAGCATTATTGACATATACAATTTGGTAACRTAGTTAGTTGGCCCTAGTCTTCAATAATAATATAATACTCAAGAAGTTTTTGGAGTTCACTGAAATGCGCAAATAGCTGYAAATAGCAAACCATATCCGTGACAGATGCTTACGGTTATACATGGTGTCAACACCAAGTTCAGGGTCAGGTGCTTGGCCTTCACAAAACTCTCTGAGCCCGTGGTCCGTTATTTTACARACCCAACGGCTGTCTATCACACAATTTGATGACTTTAGGTGTCCRTGGTAACAGATGGGGCTTTTATGCAAGAAACTCATACCCTATAGGAACGAGAAGGAAAAATTGGTTTGATCGTCGTTAGGGTGTGCGTGATGATGATAATGAGGATAGTGATGGTGGTGGTGGTGGTGGTGGTAATGATAGTGTTACAACAATATCCGCCGTGAAAATAATGCACAATATAGTTTAGACTTTTGAATATTAATTTTGACATTGATTCTGTGCGTGGCAGAGTGCGAGGAATTAGCTGTAGGTGCGGTCTGGAGACCGCCGGGTTATTCTCTTCCCTGAAGCCTTCGGGCTAGAACATTATTCTACGTGATTCGTACACTCAAGGGCGGATAGTTTTTCACTTGCCCTCAGGTCCGAAATCCATGATATCTATATAATGTATAGTACATAATTCGACTACTGTCTGTCAAAAGATGCATGATTTGCATTCCCCGCGCACGCGAGAAATAMGTTCSCGAWCACATTTCACAACAAACTAAGCCCCCAATCAGTGTTATAATTAAAGACACAACACTWCCGAGTCAAAACATTCGACTAAACCAAGCAAAACCTGGTACGCATACATTGAATGCATCGGTCTACTCCTCCAAACAAACTACATCTTGAAATTCTTTGGCTCGAATCGAAGTGCTTCCAGACGAATACAAAAATTGAGTTCGCGCCGAAGATGGCCATTATTGGCTCATTACTTTACCGTGCGAGTGATTGCGTACTTGAATTTGTTGTAATAAACACAATATTGACAAGAAGTTTAAAACTTAAGACAGTCGACATTTGCTGTTCTTTCAAACCAAAAGTCCACGCATAAGCCAAYTGCGAACAGCGTTCATAGCAGCATTGTTAATGATGAAAATTAATTGTTCGTGATAATGGACAATAAAGATGGCAGGAGTAATATGAGCTTCATTCCCCGATACTTATAACATGACTGCGTTTTACACAAAGATGTCGGGATATTTATCCATGCACCAGAAAGGCAAAGCGGGTGGGGAAAAAAACCGGATGAAATAAACGCTGTTATACTTACCCTAGCGATATCTGAAGCAAAAGAGATCTGAAACATCCAATCAAGGTTGATGTCACTGTTATTCAGAACGTCCTGCCAATACAAATACAGCAATGATGATATTGATGAGAATAGGTTAATAAGCTAGGACGAGAGTATAGGATAATTTGTCATTTGTCACTAGCTGAAAACGAAACTGAAAAGAAATCTGAAAAAAATCACAGTCCCTGATAGGAACGGTGATATTGAACAATTAGCCATAATTACGCCCCAGCCCCCATCTCTTAGCAGTGAGCACAGACGGGCGGACGAG